GAAAAGGACCTGAGAGCTAGAATAGTTGGTCGTACATTTTTCTATGAATATTAGAGACAGGAAGAAAAAAGCCTAAATTCTCCCCAAAATACTCGAGCTCAGAAAACAATAAATTGCTGTCCACTATGATAGAACTATACAGGAGCAACACATTAATTGCGAATGAATTTATATAATTGATTTTGGAGTATCCTTTAGTAGAGAAATGTCTGTAGTGATCACAACACACTTAAGTAACAATACATTCAAATGCCAAGATTACCAATTAACACGGCATGATATGAAGATAAGGGAACTTGCACGAATCACCTAGAGAAAGACACACAATTATAATATCATTTAGTGTTCAAGGTATCATATGAGACCAAATCCTTAGTAATCTTGATGAGTTCCTTAATAATAACGTTTGATAAACAATATACCACATAAAATTAATAATCAATTATATAAACGAAAAAAAAAGTTTTAAATACAAACATGTGCAACTGCAGTCCTATTGCCTGTCAAAAAATGTAAACAGAAAGTATACATGTATCTAAATATTTCAAATAACTCAACGCTTCATTAATTGAATTACATATAAAAGTAATAGGGTGAACATTAATCTGTATGAGATTGATGAAGTCATTCCATTTCACATCAAAATATGATTTCAATAAATAGGTTGAATTATTAATTGTCAATTGAAAGTTTTTCTATAAATAGGTTCACTTACTAACTATCAATTAAACATTATTTTAATAAGTACGATGACATACTATTAATTAAACATGCTTCTGATAAATGTTTTCTTACTCATTTCAATAAATAGGTTGATTTACTAATTATTTTAGATAGTGTAAAACTTAAATTTGCAGATTATAAGTCAAATTAGATACCCAACATATTCACAAATAAATTAAATCATTCATCACCAATAACATAGATTATAGTTACTTGGAATGAAACACAGAATTAAAATATATTGATAAACTAACCCAGTCGCTTCGATCAACAAGTATTCATGTAAATGATTAATCATTTTGAACCTAAATGTTTTCTTCAGTCAAGTTATACATGTTATGATACATTTAGCATTAAAAAAGTTGGTTGATCAGTTGTTACAAAAAAAAACCTGAAATTTTGGAACATACCCATTAAATAAAGTATAAGTTACGTGTGTAATTTCAAGTTTATGTCAAACGGATCAAAATTATCTGATAATTAAAACATTAAAGCATATTGTTGACTGAATGTGTGCACATATCATCTTATAAATACCAAGTTGATATTAATTGGCAGGTTATAAAAAACAATTAAAGTGCTTAAAATGATATTGAACAACGAAAGAATAAATTTACATTATGAGTACTTTGGTAAGCAACAAGAATATGTTTTGTAGTATTATATAAGGCTTTCAAAAAAAAACTGTGAAAATTAGAATAACGATCCAACGAAAGCAAAAAGAACTATTTCCAGAATATCTCCTTACCACATATGTGTTAATTATGAATTGAATGGCTAGGAGCAGGAGGTTATCCATGGGTGTATTAATAGACACACACAGGAGCAGGAGGTTATCCATGGGTGTATTAATAGACACACACAGGAGCAGGAGGTTATCCATGGGTGTATTAATAGACACACACAGGAGCAGGAGGTTATCCATGGGTGTA